ACATATCTGTGGCATCTTAGGCTTGGTCATATTAACCTAAACAGGATTCAAAGACTGGTAAAGGATGGTCCTTTAAGCGAACTAAAAGTTGGTGAGCTTCCGGTCTGTGAATCTTGTTTGGAAGGTAAAATGACCAAGAGGCCTTTCACGACGAAAGGAGAAAGAGCTACAGAACCCCTTCAGTTGATACATTCAGATGTATGTGGACCGTTAAACATCCAAGCTAGAGGAGGTTACGAATATTACGTCACCTTCATTGACGACTATTCGAGATATGGTTATGTTTACCTGATACAACGAAAATCTGAGAGATATGGTTATGTTTACCTGATGCAACGGAAATCTGAAACTTTTGGAAAGTTTAGAGAATTCCGAGCAGAAGTTGAAAAACAATTAGGTAAACCAATCAAGACACTTCGATCAGATCGAGGGGGTGAATACCTAGACCAAGGTTCCGGGATTTCTTGATTGAAGAAGGTGTGGTATCCCAATTGACTGCACCCGGTACACCACAGCAGAATGGTGTAGCCGAAAGGAGAAATCGAACTTTGCTTGACATGATAAGATTAATGTTGAGTTATTCTTCACTGCCTACTTCATTCTGAGGTTATGCCCTAAAAACAGCTGCCTACATTCTTAATAGAGTACCATCTAAGTCTGTACCTACAACACCCTTAGAGTTGTGGTGCGGTCGAAAACCTAGTTTGAGACACGTGCACATATAGGGGTGCCCATCACATGTGCTGAAGGGAAAGACTGGGAAGTTGGAGCCCAAGTCAGAAGTATGTATGTTTGTAGGATATCCCGATGGGACAAAGAGAGGTTTCTTTTATAGTCCTGAAGATCAAAAGGTGTTTGTATCGACAAATGCCACATTTCTGGAGCATGACTATATGATAGATTTTAAGCCCAGAAGTAAGATAGTATTAGAAGAGTTACTTTCCAATGAGATTGGACCACAACCGACAAGAGTTGTCGAACCACTTAGAGAAAAGACCACAGTTCCTAATCAGACTCCTAAGGCACCTCGTTGTAGTGAGAGGGTAAGCATGTTACCCGATCGGTATACCGGGGAAGCCCAAATCGTCACTGCTGATGACAGTAAGGAGGATCCATCGACCTTTAAGGATGCGATGGATGATTCTGATAAGGAAGAATGGCAAGCAGCTATGAAACTCGAGATGGAGTCTATGTACTCTAACTCGGTCTGGCAACTTGTAGATCTACCCGAAGGGGTAAAACCCATTGGATGCAAGTGGATCTACAAGAGAAAGAGAGGAGTAGATGGAAAAGTAGAGACTTATAAAGCAAGGCTAGTGGCTAAGGGTTATACCCAAAAGGAGGGAGTTGACTATGAGGAAACTTTCTCGCCAGTAGCTATGCTTAAATCCATCTGGATACTCCTGGCCATTGCAGCATATTTTGACTATGAGATATGGCAGATGGATGTCAAGACAGCTTTTTTGAATGGCTATCTTGAGGAAACCATCTATATGGAACAGCCAGAGGGTTACATAGAGGAAGGCCAAAAGCAGAAAGTCTGCAAACTGCAAAGGTCCATTTATGGACTGAATGAGGCTTCTAGATCATGGAACATGAAGTTTGATGAGGCTATAAAGTCTTATGGATTTGATCAAAACATTGATGAACCATGTGTCTACAAGTACAAGAAAGAAAAGAAGGTGGTCTTCTTAATTCTTTACGTCGATGACATCCTACTCATTGGGAATGATGTGGGATTGATGACAGATGTAAAGGAGTGGTTAGCCAACCAATTCCAAATGAAAGATTTAGGAGAGGCAAGCTATGTTCTTGGGATT